GGCGTCCGTTGGTATTCATCCTTTGAGTCGGCGTCGACCTTGCCTGTCTCGAGCAGCAGCTTAACTACAGCTTCGTTCCCGTTCTCTGACGCATGCGAGAGCGGCGTCCGTTGGTCGTCGTAATTCTTCAAGTCGGCGTCGACCTCTCCTGTCTCAAGCAGTAACCGAACAACTGCCTCGTGACCCTTCCTCGCAGCGGAGAGCAGGAGCGTCTTGCTAAGATTTTGCTCTAAATCGACCCGGTGGTCTCTCTTAAGCAGTAGCTTAATTACCTCCTCCCGTCCGTAAGCAACAGCATAAGTTAACGGCGTGCCTCCAATCTGATCCTTTAGATCTACCCGCGCCCCCGCCTTAAGAAGCAGCTTGACGACGGCCACATTACCATCCCAAACAGCATATGATAATGGCGTTCGGCCATCTCTATCCATTGAGTCGACTTTGGCTCCCTTCCTAAACGGTAGTCCAAGGTATTTCGGACCGATGATAGCGCCTTTGATTAATTGGCGAACTACAACGTCAAAGCCATTGCCTGCAGCCCAAGATAGCGCTGAGCGTTGATATATATGATCTTGAGAATTGAGGTTGATGCCATCCATCGCAAGCAGACGATTTACTGCCGTGCTCAATCCGAGATAGGATGTAATCATAAGGGTGGTGAACCCCCGGGGAAATTTCGTGTTTGTATTTGTCCAATAGATTCTGAACCAAATCTGGCAACGCCTTGAACTTCCATCACAGATGTTCAGTACTGATTGTGTCATTGCATCTTGTATCTTAATCTGCAACTCGCGGAGATGAGCGGCCCAATGCTTGGCAGAGTAGTCAAGAAAGATATGACCCTCAAGGTATTGGGATAGTGATTCGTTTTCGCCAAGAGGATGCGTCTCGAATTCTGTGAGGAGTAGGTGCCAGATGCAGATCTCGGTAAGAATACGATGCGAGTCTCGCGGCCGTAGTGAGTGTTTCCATTTGAGGTCTAGGCGAGAATTTATCGTATCATTCTGAACCAAGAATTCCTTCGCAGTTTGATGAAACAGGTAGATTTTCGAGTCGATAATCGTCACGAAGAGGCCGCAGAATTCTCGTACCTGCTCACGGAAACGGTCTTCGGGTCTGAGATCGACTTCAGCGTAAGACTGATTATTTTCTCGAAGAGCTAACGCTAAGTTCATCTCTTTCAGGGTCAAGGGACGTGCTGCTGCCGTAACGATATGCAGTATTTTTTGGGCCATTTCGGGTTTGGGACTCTTAGAGAGAATCCTGTCGTATGCCTCGTCAATAGTCTTGGGAAGATGGGAAGTGACCTTGATTATTCTCGCTTTGTCGACATAAATGTCCTTCTCGATCAGATCCAAGGTGATGTGTACCCACAGATATGTCCTATTACGAACTCCTATAAGTTCTCGTAATAGAAGGTCTTGCTCATCATGCGTAAGCTTCAATCGTGCTCCGACAACCTGGACTCTGGCTCTGATGAAAACATCGATCTCTCGGGAAATCTTTCTCATCTCAACTTCGCCTTCCCCACTCAGATGAATCACTGGCAGCCCTGGGATCTTCAGAGGTTGGAGGCTACGGCGAATTCCACCATACGGCCGACTTGTGATGAGAAACTTCAAATTGAAGTTCGTTCTGGTGCCATAAAGCTGGCATAATTTCGAGGCAAGTTGAGACCATCCATGATCTTCGCATTCATCGATTGCATCGAGAAGACAAATAATTTCGCCAGCATTCTCATCTTGTGCGGCGCTGATAAGAGTGTGCCAAAGCTCGCCAAATGAACCGGTGAATGTTTCTCCCTTTGTTTCGAAATGATCGAGAATTGCATCAGCAAGCAGGTTGCGTTTTTGCAGGAAAAGTTGATACAGAATACAGCAGAGAGCGCTAACAACACTTCTCTGGTCTTCGAAGTCGTCCTTGAAGAAGAAGTAACACATCGTGCGGGTTTTCGTGGTTGGAAGAACCGAATCCACTAGGTATTTTGCTAAAACCGATTTTCCGCATCCCGGATCTGCAGACACCCAAAGCATTCTTGATAGCTTGCTACCTTGCCAGTCTCGAAATATCTCGTGAGATACGAACCAGTCACATGTCCCTGGGACCCGATATGGGTTTCGGTCTTTTCGATCTTGATATGGTGATACATTGAGGGATTTCAAAAACTCTATTTCTCTCTCTATCTCGCCCCTCTCTCTCCGGTTGGATGATGATTGATCTTGCCGAGAATTAGTATGTATTCATCCCACAGAATCGCAGAATACTGTTAGGTCTATTATGTCCACGGCAAACAGACACAACTAGCCGAAATAGCAACTCACCAGCCACGTAGAAGTGATTCTCAATGCGGCCCGGATTATGCCCAACTTGCAGTCCTTGGTTACCAGAGCCTGCGAACGTCGCGTTAATAGTAGGAGAATCCATTTTAAAGCCAGGATTTTGATGCTTGCTAGTCGATTGCAAGTCTGAAAGTTGACGATCAGTGCCCTTTCCCTTCAGGCTGTGTTTCATTTGAAATCCGCCGTCGTATGCAGGGCTGAGCAGACTCGCATTAGAGGCGTCGGCCTGCCTCTCTTCACGTCCGGCTGTTGGATGCGGCCGAATAGGCTGGCGGTTGCACTTGATGAAGCACCTCGTGGCGTACTGGATGTGCTCAAGGACGTTCCGAGGTTGATCACTTCGAACAATTTGCGGCGGGAGGTGGCGCGTTCAAGAGCGAGCCCACAGATCTGAAGCCACAGGTGTAATAGGTAGGATTAGAACGGAGGAAGCCCTTTTCTGGACCGATTCTTACCAAAGCTGAGCTGTAACTGTTAAAAGCAAGGTACCAAGAGGCATTACTTTCTGGATTATCCCACTTCTGCGGCTGACTTCGTGGCTTGCTTTTCGCGCTAGTTCACCGGATGCGCCTCCATGCTGTGGGCGGAGCCGAGCTGAACTGTCATCGCGGGGCGACCTGCATGCACGCGGCACGGTTCATTATGGTAGAAACAAGGGCACGGAAGCGCCGATAGGCCCTTAAGCCGAGCGTAACTTGAATAACAAGGCGTTAGATATTTGCAAAGCTGAAGGCTATCCCTTCACACGCTGAAGTCCACGATGCTTATATAAGCAAGCTTTTGGCTAACGTAATCCACAAGTTAGTGGCCCGCACAAGCTAGTGGCCCACCCAACTCAACACGCGACGCGTCGTCCAACAACCACCCCAATGGCAGCACCACAACAACAAGAAGCCATCTTTCAAGAAGGCAGAGTTATTCTAGGCGTTCAAGCCTACAAGACCGGCCAAATTACATCCTTCCGAGGCGTTGAGAAACTATACGATGTGCCCAGAAAGACGGTTACGCGTCGCGCCCGTGGTATTCCTCCACAACGCGGTGCTATCTCCAAAAATCGCCGTCTTACACCTGTACAAGAAGAAGT